GGCAGTGGGTGGGCCGCGTTGCATGCCGGGAAGTGTAGTCCGCGCCTGAAGGGGTGGCGCGACTGCTGTCCCAACCGAGTCGCGTCCGGACGCGATAGATATGCAAGATTTATGCTCACTTAGCACCGAGTGTGTCTGTCGCTTGGCTTGTTAATTTCTTTTGTTTTGGCTTAGAACTTCTGGACTTTAATTCTGATTTTGTTTTCCTCTGTTCCATGTGGTTTGCAGATAATGAAACGCTGCCGCGCATCTCCCAGTAAAATGGGGAAGGTCACTGGTGGGGGATCGGCAAAAAAACCAATTAAATCGACGAATCAACCAGGGCCTTCCAAGAAAAAGGAAATAGATAGAGAAGGAAGAAAACAAGGTCAAAAAAGAAAGGTAATCATTATGTTGGATCAAAGAAATTAGAAAAGTAAGCATGGGGGGAAGAAAAAAGGCATTTTTTTTACAATTTTTTACTAGAATTTATAGAGAATATTTCATTAGCTAAACATAGTCCTCTGGAGGAAACATTCAGTGTGGATAGCTCTTTTGAAAGCGACTGTCTTAGTTGCTCCCTGGCTTCTGGAATTCCTACCCGTGTGCTCCTGTGCCAGTGGCAAGTAGAGGGAACCCTCGCCTGATCATCAATAAAGAGACAAACTGACTGTGCCGTTCTGAAGAGCTGCCTAGCATCTGTCTGAACAGAATGACAAAGTCGGAGTTCATTCCGCTCAGGTGATGCTTATTCACTTTCAAAAATGATCTCTGCGTGTCTTGGGGTTGGCTTAGGCAGCTTCCTGTTGGAGAGAGCTTCCTAAGCCACTGAACTCATGAACAGCGTGGTCTCAAGATGTGGCTGGGTAGCCAAGCACCTTGTGCATTTCTTTCACGACCTCATTCTTGGAATGGGAAAAACTGAGGAGTGAATTGCTTTCCTTAAACTGCTTGTGATGAGTTACTGTCTCGCAGTTCAAAAAGCCTTGTTTGTGCTCAGGGATTTGTATCAAGCACTGACGTGCTTTCACAGCTCTTTTTATCATGGGTTGCTAGTAGGAGATGAATGGTTGAACAGCAGAGGATGTCTCAAATTTTACCACTTTTGCTGTAAATTTTTCTCTTAGACAGCCAAAAGGAAAGCTGAGGAGCACGAGGACTATTCCCCTCCAGGTAGGGTTGTATTCTTTCCTTGTGTCTGTCTTGTGTGAATTCATTGTTTTGATAAGACACTGAAAGCAAAAGTAGTAACTGCTACCTTGAAATCACAGATGTCTGAGAGGTCACTGAAACAAGTTTCAAAATTTTCTTTCTGAACAGCGAATATTTGCGGTACAGCCCTAGCCAGTGGACATTCATATTGTGTTGTATATGCACGTATTAATCATGTGCTTTTGTTTGCAAGTACTGTTGTTCTCTTGTAAAATTCTACCACAAGCACCTAGAATATTTTTATCTGTTCTTCACAGGTAACTGTCTTCTCCGTTAACTTTCTGTCTTAAGACACGCACATGTTTTATTGAACATAAAAATGAAATCCCTGTTGTATTGAGTTTCTTGCATATGCATATTCCACCCTTGATTGGTTTTGGTTTTTTTTTAATTTTCATTCTGTGTTTTCCTACTTGTCCTGCCAATGATTTTGGGAAAGTATCTATTAAAAGTGAAACTGTTGTAATAACCTTTTCCATTTTGTGCTTTGTAAACACCTTAAACAGGGACTTCCAAATAATAAATACCACCTAATATGAATGGATGTGACCTGATAGCTTTGTGATGTGGAAAAATCTTGACTGTTACACCTTTGACGACGATCTGACTGAACTGAGTCACAAAACTGTCTATCTAGGCTTGACAAATCATATCTTTTCATTTGCTTCCTTTGTGTTAACAGGAGAAAAAGGTTCTTCAAAAAAGGTGAAGCTAACAAGTGCTAAAATAGGGTCTTGGCAGCCTCTCTCCGAGAACAGTAGGCAGTTTCTGGAAACTGTAATGAATTCAGTAATGCTGTAAGTGCCAAATATCCTGGTGGTTCTTCTTTGTTTCCCTGTGAAATAAAGTAAAAAGAGTAACATGACTTGAACTGGAAAAGCACGGGAGATTTTGGGGCAATATAGTAAGCAGGCTGAATATGTTTTATCTGGTATCATATAAGACTTTCTATCTGAAGTTGGAAATTTTTATCTAGAGAAGTTCTGACTGTGTTCTCCTCACTTAATGTGTTCTCTGTGCTGGCAGGCTTTGTGGTGAAAATTCTGCCTCTATTTTCTTTCCAGATCTGTGTTGTGCCAACATAGTTCAAGAAACGATGATGTTCCCAAGCACTTAAATTTACTGAAAGAAAGGTAAGAAATAACATTTAAATAAAAAAGAAGCGGGAAGATAAGGGATTTAGTTTACGCAGTTGCTTTGTACCGTGCTTACAGAACTGTTCCTGGAAGCAATCACATTTAGGAAATCTTGGAAAGGAGAGTTAGTGCAAAATCAAGAAGAGAAATATCGTGACTGTACGTTGATTGAAGTGGACAAGGAAGAGTTGTTGAAAGGCCCACCTTAACTACTTCTGTGTTTGCTGCTGCTCTGTCTTCCTCAGAATCAGAAGGGCCTTTGAGTGCAAGCTAAAAATCTTCCACTGGCATAAATCTCTATATCATGTTCCACAGAAGCATTTATAGATTTTACTAAAATGATCTTCGTTTGAAAGCAGTTAAAAATACTGCTTTTTAGAGCTTAATTTTACTTTGATAAAGCAGAAAGATGAGAATTTGGAAAATATTAATGTCAATTTACAATCGGAGAGTATAAAAGCCAAGGGTATAGAAATGATGTAATGTCAGTGTAACTGTAAAAAAAAAAAAAAAAAAAAAAAAAAAAAAGAATGGTGGGATTTCTTGTTCCTGAATCCTACCTTAGATATCTATTCCACATCATTTTGGAAAACAATTCAAGACAACTTTTCTTTGTGTGGATATTCTTTTACTTTGCTGCCCACAGGTGGGCGAAACTAAGTTTATTTTTTCCCCAGAGAAGTCATTAGTCACTTTCATTCTTGTTTTGCAAAGAGCTCCAAAGAAGTCATGCTTTCCTTATTTTCTATAAAAAAGGGTGCTGAGAGTTTTCAAGACATCAAAAATGCCTCCAGGGAACCTGAGAAACCTGAAGAATGTCCCGAGCCTTCAGATGGCAGAGAAGCAAATGCTTGAGACAAATGAAAAGACTTTGGAACAGTTGCAGGTATGGAAGGGAAGAAAATATCCATCTGTTGCTACTTAGTGTTTTCTAACTTTTTAGACCAACTGCTGCCTATGCCTGTGCTGCTGTGGAGGAGTCCTCCAGTGTTGATCATTTTCACCCACCTTTTCTACCATGGGTGTAGATTTTTGGATGGCTTTTCGGTGATTTAGCTGAAGCTGATTAGCAGTACCTTACACACAAAAGGTTCACTGTCTCTAAAGTGGATTTTGGTCTGCTTTTGTCTTAGGAGGAAATAACTGAAGCTGTGAGATCAGCAGACCGCATTGAAGAAACTATACAGCAACTGCAGTACAAAATCCAGGTGCTCAAGAACCAGTTAGAGGAAGAGGAAAAGAAGGCCAGGAAGGTATTTCCAGTAGATGTTGCTGCACTTGTCTAACCTAGAGGAACGGGCTCACTTCCAGAGCGGTCCCGTACAAGCTGTCTCTGCAGAGTGTGTCATATAAGGAAGGTCTGACTTGCTTTTGGGAATGGAGCTTTTCAGTCTTTCCAACTTTGTTTGGAAAATTAAGAAGTTTGGTTTTTCAGAACTTAGATAATAACAACCAGTTTATTTTCCTACTTGCGTGCCTGATGTTTGGGGTTGGATTTTTTTTCTTTTTTCCCCTTTCTAGGTATTGCAGGAAAATGGCAGCGGAGCACTCCACCTTCCAGAACTCCCCAAGCACAGCTTACAAGCACCCACTTTGCAGGTAAGCATAGAATATATTTTCAGAGACACCTTGGCTATGAGAAAGAAAGCAACAGAATGTGCTTTTATCACCTCACTTCACTTAACCTCTGCCAGATGGGGCAATTCTGAAATAGCTGAAAGTTTTCTTCTTTTTCTTTAACATCTGTATGCTTGCACTTGAAAAATGGAATGTTTGTTCTGGTTTTAAACCTGCCATTTAGAGAATCACATGTCTCTTCCTTGGAACCCTGTGGTCCTAGTGGACCTGCCGTCTTTTCTGAAATACATCTCCATAGCTGATGGAAAGAAAACTGTTCTGTTCTATGTCTTTGAATCTTTATTTTTAGCTGTGTTTAGGCACATCTAGGCTGCATGAAAGTGAATTTCCTGTTGGACTCGACGAAAGCTGTTTTGCTTTGGTTTTGTTATTATCTATTCCCTTCTTTAGGAAGAAATTTTGAAGATAAAAAATCAGGATGGTCTTTTAAGGGATATGAATGCTATTCAGCAGTCAGCTGACATGAAGAACATGTTAACCCTTATTGAAAAGACCTATGAGAAGGTGGACTTCCTTTGAGAAAGTGAAAGAGCTGGAGTCTTCTTTGAAGAAGATGACGTAGGCCACCTCTCCATGTAGAGCAGAAGGATGCTGATCATGGAAACGGTGTTTTCCTCTTAATGGCTTTACTCCCGTAACTGCTGAATTTGTGTTAAAACATTTTTCTATGAATACTGATGTGTGTGTGTGTGTGTGTATACATATATGGAGAGAGAATGGGGGAGAGAGAGAGATGACTTCTGTAACTCTAGTGATTTAAATGATCAAAATCCCAAGGTTTTGGGGGTTTTGTGTTTGTTGTTGTTGTTGTTTTATATGGGTTTTTGTTTGAGTTGTGCGGGATTTTTTTGTTTTGTTTTGTTTTTTTCCAGCCTGTGATGACTTCCAGTGGTGATGTGTACTGGCTTAGAAGAGGAGGGAAGTGTACCCTATGTTTATTTGGGCATTTTTATAGAATAAGGGAACCCATTTCATTATATTTGGACTCTTGTGTCACATCTGTAAATTGGTGGAGGTAGTATCTCATCAAAATTGTTCTGCAGTTAAATCCTCTTTAAATCTGAAACATGTAATAAAGTAAGATTATCTACTGCTCAGTTGCAAATCCTCTTTTCACCTTCCTGCCATGTGGGTTTTCAGTAAGAAAATGTAATGAAGTTGAGTATTTTCTTTATCAGATGTACAGAATTCTTTTTTATATATTTTCATATTCACCGCTTAAAAAAGGCATTCACGCCTGATTTATTCAGGTGGTTGGGGAAAGCAGGTAATGTTACAAAGCAAAGTTCTAACTCCAGCTTTGTGTACTCACATTTCATTAACTGTCAGGTATTCTGCGGCTTTAGAGGAAGAAAATGAAGTCAAAAGTCTTATTTTTTCCCCATGCACTTTAACTTCTTTTTTTTTTTTTGCTATGAGAAAGCTCCCTTAAACAGGTCAATCATTACAAAGTGCTTTCTCCAATCAGATTATACGCTCTAAGAGAGCAGTGCTCTTTGCTTTGTTCTTTTATTTACATGCTGCAGCAATATCAATTTGTATATTGTATCAACCTTTCCACATGTTCAAATAAAACATTTTTCTGCATGTGCTGTCCTGTAACACTTTGTTCCTTCTCTGTTGACTTTTCTGCTTTGTGCTATAGGTTATCAAGCCCACATCAAAAGAACAATTGTTAAACTGGGCTGACAGAGACACCTGAAAAATCAGGCAAAGGGTGAGCAGGGGCTGCTGCCTCAAAATGATGCTTGGGGCTCTTTAGCCAGGTGGGTTTTCTCTTTGGCAGGATGTGTCCTGGTTTATCTCGGGCTCTTAACTGCCTCATGGTATAAAGCTTGGCACTGAGAATGAGGATTGACTGCTTTAGTTTCAGTACTGCTGAGGAGGAAAAGAATAAGTATGTGCAAACCAAACTCTTCACAGATGTGAATGCAAAGAGATTAAATGTCTAAATGAAAAAAACACAGGTTCTTGCTTGAGCCTATACTCTTGAGCAAGCCTTGTGACATTCTGTTAACTCTGCTTACACAGTCTTTGCTACTTTGAAGGTGTGGCTGACTCTGGCTTGTATTTCTATGCTTTTATTTTATCATTAATTGAGCAGTTATGCCACTTGGTTCCTCCACATCATTGCTTTTCCGAGTGGCTCTTTATACCTAGTGTGTGTTTCCAGCAAGGAAGATGCTGGTGCTCAACTTCTCCATGAAGCTAGAGATGCTGGAGAAAATGCTGAGATGGAGTTTCCCCGAGGCCCTCAAGGTAACGCTGTCATCCTCTGTGGCACTTCTGTCAATGAATCGGGACTTTCGTTGGGGAATGAAAGCTGTAGGGAGAGGATTGTGCTTCTGAACTGAGTGATGTTTGCTGTTTAGATCCCTGCATCCAAGATATCTCTTTAGCCCTGCTTCCTAACCTAAATCCATGTACTCAGGAAGAGAAAGAAGCAAACCCATCCACCTCCTTTCCAAAGTAATTAGAGTTAACATAATTAGATAATGGCTTATCTTCGTGGTAACGTGCCTTACTGATGAGTGTGTAGGTATCAACCTGTGATATGGGTGTGTGGATGAACATCTAAATGTGTGCATTCAACCTCTAATGTATAACACAAGTGCCATGTTCACATGTCTCAAATTGTCTCATGTCTCAAATTATCTGTCTTGGTTCTTCACCCTGCAGGTTTATGGAGCAGTGATGCACATCAACCAAGGGAACCCCTTAAGAAGGAAGTGGTGGTGGACTCTTGGCCAGACTTCAAAGCTGTTATCACCCAGCTGCAGAGGGAGGTAGATTATTTTATTTGTGTTTCTGAAAGGTGGATTCAATGTGACTGGGACCTTCCTCTCGGTTTTCTGAGAACTTTGGAGATGGAGCTTGCTTTATCTGGGAAGTGTATAATGGGGAGGTGGGAACCATAAGGACATAGCAAGTAGGTGCTGGCACAAAGCCCACTACGGGAGGTGCTGCTCCTTGCTGAGACGTTCTGCCTAGTGCTTGGGGCATAACCAAGCTTGCCTGTGAAATAGGTGCTTTAATTAATTGTAGTGATCCTGGTTGTGCTGACTAAAGATTAACTTGCATAGCTTACATGGAGACACCTTTTACCTGCTGTCAAGCTGCTTGACCACACCTCCCAAGGGTTCTTGGTATTTCTAGCTTTTGTACAGACAGACAGCCAGAAAAGCCTTATTGAGCTTGTAATGGGGCATGTGTGGCCGCAAGGTGAAAGAACGGTCCTTCTGCAGCTTTCTGGCCTGTAACAGGCATTGCTAAAGAGAAGCTGGAGGGGGGGGTGGGGCACTGCCTTAACACCCTCTGCCCACCATGATAAAGCAATCTGTGTTGCCTGCATTTTGAAGTGCTTCCCCAACTCCAGACTAGGAGACAAGCCCTTGTTGGTGTAGGCTTATATGGGTTACAGCTAAATCCTTGGTGTGATCTCTGTGACAGCCAGCTCCCCAGCAGTACAGGAGTCAGCACAGGACATGAACACCCTTTGATTGGCCGTTTGGACATTTCCAACCTGTTTTGGAGACTGAGAGAGTTTAATAGTACGGATAGGGCCAGGCTGTGCTATTTCAGCTTGGGGCAGAGATCAAGCCTTGGTGCTGTTTTGTTTACCCAGAGAGGTGTGTTCTAAACATGTTGTCCTTGGCAACCAAGTAGTGCAGCATGAGTTTTGGGACAGCCGGTAGGAGAGTTGAGCTTTGAACAACTAATTAGGCAAGAGTTTTGGTGAACTGCCAACAGGTTTGGGTTACTGTTTCTTGGGTCCATGAGGACTTACTGCCGTCACTGCGTTCTCTTAATATGATACTGTGGAGAGCAGCAGATATTTCCGCTGTCTTATTTGAGAGTTGGTACTGAAAATGTCCTGTAAAAAGCCATCCTGGTGCTCCAAACATTTGTTAAATCTCTGGGGTTGGCTTAGAGGGAGTTTTGATTCCAATACCAAAGATGTGTGTATGGCGAAGGGGAAGAGTATTTAATTCTTCCAGATTTTTTTTCTCCCTGGAATGAGATGGATGACCTTGAACATCATACCAATGCTCATGCAGTTTTCTAGTAGCTCCCAGTAAGCCTGTAGCTACTTGTAGAAGGCACAAATGCCATCAAATGGGGACAAATTTTTCAGATACAAGATACAGTCCAGTTTTACTTGGTTTGGAGGAAACAGA